TATAAATTTACACAGTAACCTCAGTTGGCGTAATATAACAATGGTCATCAAAGTATCAGGATTACCTATATGTTTGCTTCTTCTTAAATGTCTAATAAGAATATGTACGTGTGCCATGGATGGCTGAACATTAAGCAATGATTAAACATACAACCGCTTACATTTCTCATCCTTTCGTGAACTAACTTCTGTATGCAACAGGTACAATGTGTGAAGCCCATTTCTGGTGTCCCCCGCCGTGATTTTGCTGGAATATTGCTAAAAGCGGCGTTAAACCATTATCACCCACTCACTGTATGCAACATTTTGATGAAATGGTTTCAAAATAAATATGTAAACATACAATGTAATAATGTTAAGTACACCGTTAAAACGCAAGAAGATAGGGTATGATAGCGGCTTAAAGTGAAAACACCCAAACACTCCTCACTCCCACCCCTAGGCGATTGCAGATTGTGGAACACATTGACCATCACCAAATGCAGCTCTATATTCTGATTACAGTTTTTTGTTTTCCAATCGCCCAAGGCAATAAAGTCATTGTCGTTGCTTAGACGTCGTGCGTGTCTTCAGGCGAAAATAGCTAATATATTATCTACATCGCTTTGAGCCACGAGGAAAAGCGTGGACATTCAGAACATACCTGGCGACTCACTCCGTGTTCGGACCCTGTGTCACTGACCCCCTGGTCCTCGCCATCTGAAATAGAATAACGAACTATCACGATTATTAATTAACGGAGATAGTTGCATGTGTGCTAATACTTATAAAGTAAAAACAAGCCATTTTGGCTCTTAGAAATATTACTTACATTAAAGACAAAAAATGCAATGTGGGACTTTTTGTTACCGATGATGTCCTCATTGAGTGTTGATCACCTGGTTGCAATCCGGCGAAGGGGTGGGAGTCAGGAGGCTGCGGGTGGACATCACCATCACGAACTGAATGAAAACAGATGTGCATATGTCGTACTTGAAGCGCTGTTGACCAAGTTCGAAATGCACACACTGCCAAATATACAACCACTTTGTCAGAACTCAGTGATGATGTTTATCGCTAGCAAAAAGGATACCACTTCGCAATTTTTGTCATTACCGTAAGTAATATTTCTCATCACCAAAATGGTGTTTCATGCCGCACACAGCCATATTCAAGCTATATGACGGCTGTCTCTAAATGATCTAGTCTTGACCACACAATCCAGTGATTGACATCATAAGCATAAGTCTACGCAATTGGGATACGATAACATGCATCAACCAGCGTGCCAGACCATCCGATCCCGTTAGTCGCCCCTTACGACAAGCATGGGTGTCTGAAGATCAATTCCTACCCGGATCTTCATTTGGGGACATGCTATGTTTCCACCCTGTATCATCATCATCATCATCATCATCATCATCATCATCATCATCATCATCATCATTATTATTATTATTATTATTATTATTTACAGATTAAAATAAAACATGCAGCAAAGAGGGTTTGGGTGGTCCTGGCACAGGCTGGTTAGACTCATCAGCTCCGGGCCATTGCCCCCTCTACACGCAGCTCAGACAGCGAATGGGACTTCTCCCATGAAGCGCTACCTAGTCGAACCCACCCAGAACTTTTCGGAGAATGTGAAGACTCCCCATCACTGCAGCCTTAAAGCTTCTGTATTACCCAGATTGTCAGAAGAGCTGTATTCCTGGCATCTAACCCGGGTACTCTCCCAGTGTCAGTCAACAGATTGGGAGGTACCAAACAGAAGGCGCCAAGAACAATGGGAAGTCGGACAACTTAGTACTTGGGATGCAACCGTGACATTTCGAAAGCGAAGCCCGAATATTTGCCATGTTTACTTGAATCTTGTCAATCACCTTAGTGTCAAGAGGGACAGAAAATTCAACAATATATTATTATTATTGTTGTTGTTGTGGTCTTCTCGCATGTATGAACCAGTTAACCCAGTAAGACTGTGTATTATATTTTGCTTATGTGTGAGGAAATATATATAATCCCATTTCAAAATGCTGACAACAAAATGTATCTGAAATCTTCTATACCTTTGACGATAAACAATCATATATTTTAATGTCATCTTTACATAATAACGAGGGGTTGCCTGCTTTATTAACATCAATTAATGTTATTTATATATTTTAGAACTTCAAATATATATTATATAGTTTCCCATTTTTATATCTGTGTTTTCTTTATATCCAAAATATCCGATAACCTGAATGTCAAAGTCACCTAGTAGTGGTTAGCGTTACTCTTCCGTCTGGACAGGGTCAGAAGTACAGAGGCCGGTCAGTTGGGTAACTTCGATCAAGGCTTGAGACATACTCAAACGTCCCCTGAGCCCTTATAGTATATACCTATAGTTACATGCGCCAATCAACCAATGCGTTTTAGTTATTTACATATGTTCAAGTGAAAAAAAGGTATTTTCTCGTTTCACCTAATTTCTTCTCATACTATTTGTTCTTTCCTATCTACTTTTCTTCATTTCTGACGCAGAACCTTAGTATACCAGACTTTTTCCATTCCGGAAACTCCTCATTCTGTGTTATTATAGAGTAAATGTGTTTTTTACCTTCCATACAACATGTTGTAAGTTTCGTCGCTCACAAGCCCCGTTTTACTGAACGACTTTGTCATATACGACATAGTCCTGGTTAAAAAGGTTCATCTGAGTCTGTGTCTTGTTCTCATCATCTTATTTTAGTGCACTTTTGTTGGACTCTTCTTTTCATCGGTCCTTGTGATCATCGTAATTTGTTGTGATTGTTTAGTCAAATCAAATTTTCAAGTGCATACTTTCTTTTGCCCGGCAGTTTATACAGACAAAGCAATGTTTCTTTCAAGCCATGCCCATGCTAATCTGGGATGTATAACACCTTTAATATGCATAGTCGAGGTGGGAACCGGGCATCGTCATCAACCCATGTCGTAACCTCCAGTACACATTTCCATTCTTCGTCCTGTACTTAGCATACGTGTAGGAGAACTTGTGGGGCACCTTTCTGGGACAAGACATACTCAACTTTCGTAAGTCCGGCCATAGCTTAATTGGACGAGGTTGAAGCTCATGTTCAAATATATTTATATGTTATACCATACACAAGAGAAGGAAGTATTTGGTATATTCTTACACAAATCCCACAACTTGTTTAAAGGTAATGTTTGAATAAGATTTGTGATGTACCGGGAGCAGATTAAAGAAAGGAGGAGTTTTTTTAAGACAATGTTGTTGTTGTCCACTACTGCTCATTGTCTCAACATATTGATAATCCCTCATAGCAGGTGAGTGGACCAGTCCATTCATTAATTAGGTGTGACCAGCATGGCCCAATTAATTAGTGAGCTAATTTTAACTGCTTTTGGGGAGGTCTGCATTTTGGAGGTCTTCGTTATGGGAGGGAACCATCGTCACGATATGGCTGAAATATTGCCGATGTGACGTTTAACTTTTACTCACTCATTCACTCAATATGCATAATCACTTACCTTGTGTGTTTCATATGAAATATATCAATATTCGTTTTCGTAATGATGCCGAAATAATTTAAACGTAAATCGGATTCTTACTTCTGCGCTCGGCAGAGATTTCTTACGAATGTGGAAAGGGTTTTGTCGCGTTTATCCCAATATGAGTATGAAATATTAATAAATTAATCCCTCAATATTTAACTTAATGATTGCATACGTAAAATTAAATGTTACTCGCTATATAGCCCAGTGAACCGTGAAAACAACGTTATGCATCGTTTGTGAATATCATTATACATCAAGAAATTCTTTACAAATTCAACGTAATGGCTGCAACGCTGCAAATGTGACGTTACATTGTTCTCACTTATAGAACCAACATGAACCCGTCGTGCAGCATAGTGCCCCCATATCGGCCCTCACATACAGGGTATGTTGTGTTTTACAGCCAATCCGAGATATAGCCGGGGGTGGGCTCTGTGGTAACATCCTACGGTCATAAGTGGTCAATCGACCCGTATCTTTGGAGGTGTTAGGTCACACACTTATCACATAATCGTCAGCCAGAATGTCCGGGTGAAGATGGAGAGATACCACGATACACGCCACAAGCCCGACCATCTGGAACTCATTCATACACATCACCCGTCAGGAGTCGGGCGTTATTTTCATCTTTATCATGATGGCGTAGTAGCATGTCATCTTTATTAATTTGGATCATATAAATTACTGGATCTGGCAACAGGTATGTTGAATTGTTTTACCCATTTTAAAGTAATTTCTATTTATGAAATGAATCGATATTAAATTGATATTTAATCACAGAATTCCTTTTCGCTTCATACGTCCTGTCAATATGTTTTTCGTGGCTTCATGTATGTATGTATGTATGTATGTATGTATGTATGTATGTATGTATGTATGTATGTATGTATGTATGTATGTATGTATGTAGGTAGGTAGGTACATATGTAGGTATGTATGTATGTATGTATGTAGGTAGGTAGGTAGGTAGGTAGGTATATGGGTGGGTGGGTGGGTAGGTAGATATGTAGGTAGGTGTATGTGTGTGAGTGTTTTCGCGTGTGTGTGTGTGTGTGTGTGAGAGAGAGAGAGAGAGAGAGAGAGAGAGAGAGAGAGAGAGAGAGAGAGCCTGCGTGCCTGCGAATGTATGTTTTGTTTGTTTGTTGTATATAACGCCGCACTCAGCAGTATTCCAGTTATATGACAGCGGCCTGTAAATAATCGAGTCTGAAACCAGTGACTGACATCATGAGCATCGATCTACGCAATTGGGATACGATGACATGCATGAACCAAATTACTGAATCTGGCCACCCGATGTATGTATGTATGCGTGCGTGCGTGCGTGCATGCATGCATGCATGTATGTATGTATGTATGTATGTATGTATGTATGTATGTATGTGTGTGTGTGTGTGTGTGTGTGTGTCTGTGTGCGTGCGTGCGTGCGTGCGTGCGTGCATGCATGCGTGCATGCATGTATGTATGTATGCGTGCGTGCGTGTGTGTGTGTGTGTGTGAACGAATATCTTAGATTGCATAATTATTTAAGAGCAGCTGACTTTGATACTTTTTATGATTCGCCATGACAAGAAAGTTACTTTCATATTTTCTCAGGACATCAACTTAACATGGATACACAATACACAGTTTCAAACAAAAGGTATAACTCCCACCATACAAGAGAAACGTTCGAACAGAACTTATCCAGGGGTGTTCAAGATCCGAGTTTCCTACGATCACGGAGTCCTAACTCGAGGGGAGGTCACTCCAATTCTCAGTCAGACGTCAGTGACGACAGACAAAGGGGGAAACCTTACCCTCGGGGAACCCTCACCGAGCTGAAACAGAGAGTGTCACCAACGGGTCCCACTGATCGCCCGGGCCAAAATTCACTCCAGAAGGTCCAAAAATGGATCGAAAACAGCGAACAAGCGGTGCCAGTTGTCGTTGTTGAGGCAGCGTCAACTGACGGCAATGACGTCACCCACGATATGCGATCTCACTTCACGTCGTCTGATGGACTACACACATCTAATGCGGTAACTACGTTTTGTTTTCTTCATCAGTGGTAGGGGCGGTCGGGTAGCCTAGTGGTTAAAGCGATCGCTCGTCATGCCGAAGACCCGGGTTCGATTCCCGACATGGGTACAATGTGTGAAGCCCATTTCTGATGTCCCCCGCCGTGATATTGCTGGAATATTGCTAAAAGCGGCGTAAAACCATACTCACTCCCTCACATTCATCAGTGGTAATGTAGCTACTGCGATAATATGATATCAATATGATCTCGACTCACAGTCCTTCCTGTTCCACACTGGGTAAGCTTCTTGCTGGGACTCATTTTGAAAAAAAAGGAGGCACGGGTGGCCCAATCGTCTAAGGCGACGCAATTCGCTGTGCAGAGTTGCGTCCCTTTGGGCACGCCAGAAACTTATGATTGTGGGTTCGAATCCCCTTTCGCCCCGAAAATGTTTCTAGGTCTGTCAGCACCATACCCGTGCTCGTGGGTTTCGCCGAAGTGGTAAATATCTAAGATCTGCATCACTTGGGGATTTCCTCCCACATTAAGCTGACACGCCGTGATATAACTGGAATACTGTTACAATCGGCGTTAAACATACCTCACTCATTTTGAAAAGCATTTTTGACCAACAGGACCAAGATAGGCAGTCTGAAGGTGGCAGTATTAAAGACGAGGACAGCACATTTTCAGCCGGCGAGTCAAATCCAAAGGGAGCTACGGATCAGTGAGTATAATGATAATATGCTCCAGTTATGTTGAGACAACCTCACCCTCTCTATGTGAGTATCATGATAATATGTTCCAGTTATGTTGAGACAACCTCACCCTCTCTATGTACAGTACCATGCGATACATTTGTATTGTTAGGAACACGGATGAGATGTATTCCCTTAGGGAACTATAGTCATATGAATAATCATCGAGTGTTCTTTAACTTCTTTTGGGTAGTATATATTTCCCATAATATACATGAATAAACAACATAACAATATGAATATTTCGTTTTTAAGGATGTTATTACAAGGTACACATGATTTTTTTCTGTCATGAAGATGTCCGATTTTCGATCACAAATGTTGATACTATTTAATTTCGTTTCTCCGACATACACGTTAATCCGACATAGTCATATGCAACCAACCGTGTCGGAATAACGGGACTTAACTGTACATAATAACATGTGTATCGTAATCTGTCAACATTTGACCTCAAGTTCACGATACGATTCTGTACAGTTGCACTGAGTATCCCTACACAACCATGAACCCAACCTTTGTCAAATTAACGGTTTGGTTTACAGCTATAAGAGTTTGAACAGTGAGTATGGAATCTAACGTCTAGAGTGAATTTATATGAATTCCAGACTGTTGTGGGACCAGTTCCAGATGATACCGAGAGACAATGTGACCACGGAAACCTCGCTCTGGACTCTCATACAGGGGATCAAACTCATAGCCTATGGTCTTCTCTTCTGTATGGTGCTGGGATGTGCTGTGGTCAACAAGCTGTCCCTACTGACCATGACGTCAGGGATAGTGAAGGTAAATAACTACCCCTACTGACCATGACGTCAGGGACAGTGAAGGTAAATAACTACCCCTACTGACCATGACGTCAGGGATAGTGAAGGTAAATAACTGCCCCCACTGACCATGATGTCAAAGATAGTGAAGGTAAATAACCGTATCCACTGACCATGACGTCAGGGATAGTGAAGGTAAATAACTGTCTCTACTGTCCATGACATCAGGGATAGTAAAGATTATATAACTGTCCCTACTCACCATGAAGTCAGGGACAGTGAAGGTAAATAACTGTCTCTCCTGACCATAACGTCAAGGATGGAGAAGATAAATAACTGCCCCCACTGACCATGACGTCAGGGATAGAGAAGATAAATAACTGTCCCCATTGACCATGACGTCAGGGATAGAGAAGATAAATAACTGCCCCCACTGACCATAACGTCAAGGATGGAGAAGATAAATAACTGCCCCCACTGACCATGACGTCAGGGATAGAGAAGATAAATAACTGTCCCCACTGACCATGACGTCAGGGATAGAGAAGATAAATAACTGCCCCCACTGACCATAACGTCAAGGATGGAGAAGATAAATAACTGCCCCCACTGACCATGACGTCAGGGATAGAGAAGATAAATAACTGTCCCCACTGACCATGACGTCAGGGATAGTGAAGGTAAATAGCTGTCCCCACTGACCATGACGTCAGGGATAGTGAAGGTAAATAACCATGATTATGTTTTCACCTTCTCCGATCAAGACATGTTTAGATGCAGACAACTAGGATATAATGTAGCAAGTGACAAAGAATACTCCATTATAACATAGACATCGACTGTTTTAAACTGTGTGGTGTGGGGCGGTAGATATTTTGGTGAAATAAAACTTATTCCAGACTGACAACATTATACTGAACGTATAGTAAAGATTCCCTTGTTTATGTCTAAGTGTGATATATTTGTTTGTTTTATCCAGAGCCTGAAGCGCGGAGGACCTAGCCCCACCAACACCATGCTACTGATCGGACTGTGCTTCCCGTACGTGTCCTGGCTCCTCACGTACTCAGCACGATCAGTGTTTGGAAATGTCGGCTGGCCCACATTCAAAATGACAATCTCGGTACGATATATATTTATATATAACAATCAACTTCTTTGAATGCTTCAACTGACCAACATTACAAGGCTTTGACAGACATCCTCCGTGGTACCGTGAATAGACCGACAGCTCGGATAGCGGAAAGTCGGTGGTTCGATCCCGACCGGGGGCTCATCATTAAGGGGATAAAAGAGGTCTGGTCAGCGCGGAGTCAGCATAATGCGTTGGTTATCCATGTTAAACTGCGGGATGGAATCTTAATGGGCTATCGCTATTAAACCGGCGTATGTCCGGACTAGTAAAAGCAACTTAACCCACACGTGCATTCACATCGCCATATTTAAAGAGAATAACCGCGGACAAGATATTACACCTAGGGCTTTGTGACACTTCTAAATACATATACCATGACACCTCGTTAGTCCGAAACCGCTGTAAAGAAACTTGACCTACCACCCAGAAATATGTTAATCCATTGACACTGGTATCCGTATCGTCCGGATTATGTTTTTATTGATTATTAATGACTCTTAATGACTCTGTGACCTTATGGTCCAGCTGTACACCAAGCTGATGATATTCTGGTTCTCACACTTGCAGGTGTTGGTTCTCGAATCGCTACACAGCCTTGGATTGTGTCTTCTACTTTTCAAAATATTGCCTGAAGTGGACATGTTTCGTGCCTTAATCCTCATCTCGTCCATACTGGTGGTGCCCTCAATGTGTAGGGCCATCTCTTCTACTGTCGAGCAAACAACGTCCAGGACAAAACGCTGCTTCATCTCCTTGGCAAACCTCTTAGCCTTCTTCATCCAGCTAGGCAGCGTGGTCCTGTGCACTGTGTCCGGCTTCACCTACAGCAGTGCAGAGAAACAGTCCATCACAGACAGAGTGCAGGGTGATGACATGGACACCGTGGAGAGAGAAAGTCTTACCTTGTGGGAAAGAATCTCCTGGGAAATCCCCGTTGCTCTGGTTCTTATCTCAATCATGACATGGGAGAACTACATTGATGGAGACATCTCTTTCTGCGGCCGCAGACTCCCCATCACCATCTGGAAGAAGAACCTCCTGCTGCTGCGGCAGCGGCTGTATATATTCGTCAGCATCTGGAAGGTCGGCATGTCAATACTCCTGGCCTTGATCCTCAGTGACGACTTCCATTTCACCTTAATCTTCCCACAAGAAACCACATCTTATACAAACGCCACAACCAACCAGCAATCGGATGATCTTCACTTCCAGCAATATGGCCCCTTCTATGCCCACCTTGTCACGTCGGTGGTGTGTTCCTATCTGGGTGGACTGGCGTGCAAGATGTGCATGCAGCGGTTTAGCTTCTCCCTGCCGCTGACACTCGTCACCCCCACGTGTGCAGCTGTGGTGATGCTGCAGTGCGAATTCAACTTCATTCTGTTCCCCGGGGACACCTTCACGTGGGTGTGTCCGAGCCAGGAAGACCCTTGGCTGAAATACCACCTAATTCTCCTGGGACTCGTCTGGCTGTCACAGGTCATCGTCACTGAGCATGTCTGGTTCCCGGATTCTAGCAGAATGGCAAAGATAGAAAGGTATGATAAAATATCTTTTTCATTATTTAATTTCAGTATGCCTGGATACCATGTGCATATTGAGTAGTTTGTTCATTGAAGAGTCCAAATCTTGTCACTCATTTGTACTGAACTATGTATTCAAGATGTGGAAATGTCATATTATATCACTTATTGGATATCATATCTGATAATATTATCATAATTATAATCTTTGATAAGACGTTATGGGTTGATATTTGACCCCCCAACTGTGCAAAGCGATGTTTGTGCTACATTTAATGAGAGTTATATTGCCGTTAGTTTGCTAAATTGCACTCCAGTTCAGTTATTTTCACATTAATGAAGGCTACACAAATATACAAGATAATAAGATTCGAGGTTTACTCGACAGGGTAGTGATTGAAAGATACCAAGTTTACCCAATGATGTCACACGCACTCTCTCTCTCTCTCTGTTTGGCAGGCTGTTCGTCACCCCTGTCAGATGCAGCGCCCTTACTGACCAGTTCCTGCTGCTACGTCGTCGGCGTGACGACCGGGATCGTATGTTGCTAAGCAACTGGGATGCTGAATCGCTTCTGGATGAAGATCCTTTCAAATCCGACTCAGCAGTGCCCCTCATCTACGCATGCGCCACCATGTGGCACGAGACAGTTGAAGAAATGACGTTGCTGTTGAAGTCCATCTTTAGGTTAGTCCGATCTCTTAGACATTTAGGGACCAGAGTGCGTTGAGCAGTAAGTGAGTTGGGTTTAGTGCTGCACTGAACAGTGTTCCAGTTACATCACAGGGTGTCTGCTTGAAGAGGGAGGAAAGCCCGAAGTGATGCAGGTCTCAGACGTTTTCCACTTTGATGAAACCCACGAGCACGGGCATCTTGTCTAAGAATCATTATCAGGGAGAATCTTGTGTTCAAACCCAGAGTATATCAGCATGCTTTTAAAGGACGCATCAGTGTATATCATAATGTAGGTTTACTTTATAGATTATGTAACAATTTCTAACGTCATGTTTTGTGTTTCTGAGCAGGATCGACATAGATCACAGTGCGCGCTTCCTGGCCCAGAAATACTATGGAATCAAAGATCCCGACTACTATGAATTTGAAGGTAAGATGTTCTCACTGACAGTGTCCTTATGGACATTATTAAAGTGTAAGTCACCGATCCCAAAATACACATTGGCGAAATAATATTATAATATATGAAATGATGACATCAAAGTTTAAATATACATGCAGTCATATTATTTTAATTATAAGAAAAGTAGATACTAATTACAAGCACAGTGTAAATACATTTCAATACCCCTGAAGATCCAGGTTAGAAAAGGTCTTCATGCTTGCCGTAACAGGCGACTATGCTCGTCGATAGAGGCAACTAACAGGATCGGGTGGTCAGGTTTGCTGACTTGGTTGAAGCATGTCATGGTATCCCAATGCGTGGATGGTTGCTCAAGATATCACTCAGTGGATTTTCTGGTCCAGACTCGATTATTTACAGATCGCCGTCATACACCTGGAACATTGCGGCGTAAACAATAAACAAACAAAGAAATAAATACATTTCTGAAGCATGAACGTACACGTAGAACAGATGCTTCACACTAACAGTGATACATTGCTTCTGACTAATGCTAATAAACTATTTCTTTGCATCCTTTCAGCACACATATTTTTCGATGACGCTATGGAGTTGACAGATGACGACAAAATGGTACCTAACACCTTCGTTGTTGATCTCATGAGCTGCGTTGACGACGCCATAAGGTAAACATCTTTCTGATCCCATATTGAAGAAGCACGTAAGTCAGGAAGATAAAATATGGTTCACGCGTTGAGCATGGTGATATATAATTTAAAGGCCAATCTTGACATTCTCTCTTAATTCAATCATTTAAAATGAAAGGCTTGTTTGATAGGCATTACTTAGAAGTTGGCGGATGACAAGATAGACACAATTTTATGGATAACAACTTCTTTAATACTGTAAAAAAGCGACGTTTCGGTATAGATCCTTATACCGTTGTCAAGCAAGACTGAATGAGGGACATAGTGCAGAATATATATAGCAAGTGGAGGATTACCAGTTGAGGATTACCAGTAGAGGATTAACAGTAACAACAAGGGCATACATGAGTGGGATAACATAGGTAGGTGTGACAACAAGGATGATGCTATCACAACACGATGGACAGAAAAACACATAGCTAGAAGCCAATGGGGCATGAAGCTAATAAACAGGTGATTATTGTTTGATGAGTTCATAGTAGGCGGATGGGATGAAATAGCCTTGATCTCTGTTGATTGATGGGTTGTGGCGGCGAATGTGGACTGCTTCTGTTAGTTTTCTTTTGGTGAAATCATGGAGGTTGTTGGCAAGATTTGGACGTTGTCCCAGTTGATGATGTGATTGGGACAGTTGATGATATGGTCCGAGATGGCTGATTTGCTGTCGGATTTGATGGTGGAGGTTTTATGCTCTTTGATTCTAGTGTTGATTGGGCGGGATGTTTCACCTACGTAAGATTGCCCACAGTTGCAGTCAATTTTGTAGACAACACCTTTAACCTCTTGCGGTTTAGATGTGTTCCTGCCCACTCATGTATGCCCTTGTTGTTACTGTTAATCCTCTACTGGTAATCCTCAACTGTTAATCCTCCACTTGCTATATATATTCTGCACTATATCCCTCATTCAGTCTTGCTTGACAACGGTATAAGGATCTATACCGAAACGTCGCTTTTTTACAGTATTAAAGAAGTTGTTATCCATAAAATTGTGTCTATCTTGTAAAGTAAATGAATACAGCTAGTATCAGTCACGCTGTGCAAAACCCCTACATATTCCTGTGACAAGGGGTTGTGGAACTATAGTGTTTCATGGCCGCGTTGCTGAGACAGGGAGAACGGACGACGAGGAGAAGGGCTACGTGGGGAGACATCTGTTGATATTCTTCAACAGTTGTTTATGTTACAGCTCTGTACACGAGCGGCAGATAACCCTGGGTCCCCCGATCCGTACCCCGACTCCGTACGGAGGGCGTCTGACGTGGAACCTGCCTGGGGGGACACAACTCACCGTTCACATGAAGGACAAGGCTAAGATACGTCATAAGAAGCGGTGGTCACAGGTCAGTAAGATCTTAACAGTCGTGTAATTCCTGGGCCGAGGTGTTGTAAGTTCAGGATAACCATGTCCTCGTGTTACATGTCCAGACGCCAGTATCAGTAACGTCTGATTATGTCCAAGCGGCCATGACCTTCAGATGTCCAGGTATGTATCCGTCCTTAAAGGAGCAGTCATGTAGGAAAACTAAAGTGACTGAGTGAGTATGATTTAACGCCGCTTTTAGCAATATTCCAGCAATATCTCGGCGGGGGACACCAGAAATGGGCATCACACATTGTACACATGTCGGGAATCGAATCCGGGTTTCCGGCGTGACGAGCGAACGATTTGACCACCAGGTTACCCGACCGCCTCCAGGAAGACTAAAGGGCATTAATGGGGTATTGGGTGGGTAGGGATGATGGTGGGTTGAGCGGAAGGGAGGTGTATTGGGTTGGATATTTTAGTACAAAAATTGGGTTAGTTAACAGTGGGGTTGGATGAGGTTGGGTGAAGGTGGGGTTGTTTTTGGTAGGGTGAGGGTTCCAGTTGATAGAGCTGGGCTGGGTTTGGATGGGGTTGGTTGAGGATGTCGTTGCTAGGGTTTAGATGGGCTGTGGACGTTGGTTAGGGCGATAGAGGGGTGGTGAGGGTGCGGTTGTTCGGAGTGGGGTTTGATGACTGTTAGTTTTTGTATTAGTTTTACGGTAACCTAAGAACAGATCTTTTTCTTCAACCCTTCAGTCCCTCAGAGATACAGTCCAACGTTACTTTGCTTAAAACCCTTCTTATCCATACTTATACATCACCCCGGTCACGAGGTAGATAAGGTCTTCAGCAACCCATGCTTGCCGTAAGAGGCGACTATGCTTGTCGTAAGAGGCGACTAACGGGATCAGGATGTCAGGCTGGCTGACCTGGTTGATGCATGTCATCGATCCCAATTACGTGAGTCACTGGATTGTCTAGTCCAGACTCGATTATTTACAGACCGCCGTCAAAAAGCTGGAATATTGCTGCATGAGGCGTTAAACAATAAACAAACAAACACGAGGTACGTTTATACATTAATTTTACTAATTACCCCCACCAGGTGATGTACATGTATTATCTGCTTGGGTTTCGAATACTTGCCCAAAATGACAACAGCAGTCCAGAAGATATCCTTGGTGACAAAAAGACGGGCCAACCCGTGGAAAAGGCCCAGTTGACCGCAACTCAACTGCGCAGGCGTAGACGATGTGCGCACTTCACTAGGAGTGTCATCTTTAACAACGTCAGCGAAGATGTCCAGACAAAGGTACGGCGAATTGATTATGGCGATGGAACCCTGCATCAGCAGTTGCATAAAAACGTCTTAAACAATACAATTCCTCAAATATTAAGAGACCCGTGAAGACCCGGGGTAGAATAGATCTTCAGCAACCAATGCTTGCCGTAAAAGGCGACTATGCTTGTCGTAAAAGGCGACTTACGGGATCGGGTGGTCAGGCTCGCTGACTTGGTTGAAGCATGTCATCGATCCCAATTGCGTGGATCGATGCTCATGATATCAATCACTGGATTGTCTGGTCCAGATTCGATTATTTACAGACCGCCGTCATATTGCTGGAATATTGCTGAGTGCGGCGTTAAACAACAAACCAACCAACCAACCAACCAAATATTAAGTACTCTTGCATGAAGACTATTTCATCATCGTTTCGTAATTCAGGGAGTGTGAACACAGGTGGTACACACGGCAGTAAGGGTCATTCTAGACATATCCCGGCGGTCTGTAAATAATCAAGGTTTTGTCAAGTACGCATCATCCGTGATCTTCGCGGTCTGGATGTCAGACACTTTATGAGTGAAGCAACACGATGTGACAACCGATCCTCATTTTGTCGGCTAGGAATCAGGAATCTCACAGTATGGATGTGTAATTCACCCTTTATTTCCCGTAGGCGGAGAATACATTTATTCTAGCCCTGGACGGTGATGTGGACTTCCGCCCGGACGCTGTCCGTCTGTTGGTGGACAGGATGACGAAGAATAAGAAGGTCGGGGCTGCGTGTGGTCGAATACACCCCACTGGGTCAGGTACGCGTTCTCTGGAATCTTTGAATTTAGGATTAAATGTGCACTTAATGCACAGATGGTGATTGTTTGAAATATAGCTTGTTTCGTTATTACTGTTTCCATATGTAATATCTCCTTTTATCAGAAATGATTTATGTTTGTTTGGAGATGAGGTGAAGTGAAATGGGGTTCCAAGATTATTGTACGACGTGTATGCACGTGTGTGTGTGTGTAGGCACGTGTGTGTGTGTGTGTGTGTGTGTGTGTGTGTGTGTGTGTGTGTGTGTGTGTGTGTGGTTGTACTTGTCCGGACTGATGCCGATTTATAGTATTTAACATGAATACCCGACTCAGACACAGCATACTGACTTCGAGCCGACCAGTCCGTGTTTTAGCCCCTAAATCCCCGAGTGCCTACTGAGTAACAACAAGTACCATCTTTTGACGTCTTTTGGTATGATATCGGCCGGGGATCGAACCCCTGACCTTCCGCTCTCTGGGAGGACGCTTTTACCACTCGACTGTTTGTTTGTTTAGAGACAAATAAAGTATCTAGGTACCTGTATTTCTGTTTTCAACATTGTCTATGTTTTCAGAATTCATTTCGCCATTACTAAAGAGTTCATCCTAACTTTAACCTTTCCCTTGCCCGCCAGGTCCCATGATCTGGTATCAGATGTTCGAGTACGCTATCGGTCACTGGCTGCAGAAGTCGACCGAGCACGTGTTTGGGTGTGTCCTGTGTGCCCCTGGGTGCTTCACATTGTTCCGAGGGTCCTCCCTCATGGATGACAACATGGCCCGGACATACGCCAAGCGGGCCACCCAGGCAGGCCACTATGTTCAGTACGATCAGGGTAAGGAACCTTCCACAATCCATAGTCACTTTGCACACAGCAATATGCAATATTATACATTTATCAAGGCCAATCACTATTCACGCATTGTGCCTATTGGAGGAATCGAACTTGGGTCTTCAGCTTGACATGCAGATGTTGTGACAAGAAGGCTATTTCACGGGCCAATAGTGAGTGAGTGAGTGAGTTGGGTTTAACGCCGCTTTTAACAGTATTCCAGTTATATCGCGGCGTGTCAGCTTAATGTGTGAGGAAACCCCAAAGTGATGCAGGTCTCAGACGTTTACCACTTCGGCGAAACCCACGAGCACAGGTATGGTGCTGACAAACCTAGAAACATAATCGGGGCGAACCGGGATTCGAACCCAAAATCATAGGTTTCTGGCGTGCCCGAGGGACGCAACTCTGCACAGCGAGTCACGGCGCCTTAGACGACTGGGCCACCCGTGCCCCCTCGCGGGCCAATACTAGAAGGTGATAGAGTTGCGAAGAAGTATATCAGTGGATAATATGATTGATTATGTAATTTTTTATTCATATGTAAGGATCATTGATAAAAGAAATGTATTTATCACGTCTGTCTAACTGGTAACTTATATTTTCAGGCGAAGATCGCTGGCTGAGCACACTTCTCATTCAACAAGGCCACAGAATAGACTACTGCGCAGCCGCGGATGCTTTCACGCATGCGCCTGAAACCTTTTCCGAATTCTTCAACCAACGTCGTCGATGGGGTCCTTCAACTCTAGCCAATATCATCGATCTCTTGTCCACGTGGAAGAGTGCAGTAAAAATCAACGACAATCTCAGCTCCCCCTACGTGTTCTACCAAGTCGCTCTGCTAGTCTCTACAATCCTTGGCCCAGCTACAGTGCTGTTGATGATGGCTGGCGCATACTCGGTGGTGTTCAAGACGTCCATCCTGCAGTCCCACGTTATATCCCTTATCCCGGCTGTGCTCTACATCCTTGTCTGTCTGTACACCAAGTCCCACACACAGCTGCTAGTGGGAGCCTTCCTCAGTGCTGTGTATTCTATAGTCATGACCATCGTTGTCGTAGGCACTGTGAGAACAGCTATAGATGGTACCATCACCAGTCCTAATGTCGTCTTCCTCATAATGCTGTCATTCATATTTCTGATATCAGCTGTACTCCATCCCGAAGAGTTTGGTTGCGTGTTGCCAGGACTTCTATACTTTATCTGCATCCCTGCTAGTTACCTCGTCCTCAACATCTACTTCCTGTGTAACCTCAATGTGGTGTCCTGGGGAACCAGAGAAGCCCCAAAGAAGAAGACAAAGGAAGACGTTGAAAGGGAGAAAATTGAACAAGAAGAGAAAAAGAATAAGAAACAGAAACATGGTGTCCTGGGATGGCTAGGTTTAAAGAACATTATTGGGGAACTTGGTGAACTGTTCAGACAGATGAGAACAGTCATACACGAATCCTTCAAAATGAATGATGAGTCACAAAAGAAGAAGACAGATCAGCTGTTGGAGGAGCTGATCCTTGAGATCAGGAAAGACAGGCTGGATTCAAGAAGTTTCCAGCAAAGCATAGACACGTCTTCTTCATCGTCGGAGAGTGTTCATGACTCTGATGGCTCGGAAGAGCACGCGGCATCGCTGTCAATAACTCCGGCTCCTCAAGAAGCAGTTCCTGAATCAGTGAACGGAATCCCGTTATGGTTGAAGAAAGAAGATCCCGAAAATCCCGGTTGGCTTTCGAGTCCAGATATTGGAGATGGTCCACTGGTTTATCTTGATGACAATGAAAACATATTCTGGAAGCAGTTAATCAGGAAATATCTCCGACCAATAGCCGATGACAAGGAACACAAAGACAAAATGTCAGCTGCTCTCAAATCCTTGAGGGATAATGTTGTGTTCGCATTCTTCATGGTCACTGCATTATGGGTTGCCTTCTTCCTTCAACTGGAAATTCTTCAAGATGAGCTTAAAGACTATCTCTATATCAAAATACCTAGGTTAAATTCAAATGAAGAGCCTTTAACCTTCCAGCCATTTGGACTGGCCTTCTTTGCCTTTTTCGCATTTCTGATTATATTCCAGTTTCTGGGCATGCTTCTTCATCGGTGGGGAACGGCGCTGCATCTCTTGTCCATTACCAATATCACATTCGGACAAACCTTTACGGAACAAGACAAGGTAAAGGATATAATACTGAAAGTAGCAGAGCTCCAGAAGATGCGGGATATCGAACACGAACCGGAACCCGACTACGATGAGCCTATGCCAGACTACGAGGGAGAGAACGACATGAACAGGTCCTACCCTGAGTCAGTTCCCGACCGCCCCCCTCCGTCCTACCACACCCAGGATATCCCAGTGCCCTTCTCCCCGGCACGGACTAATGGAACAATGAGACAGATTTTCAATCATCAGGGTCAACCCACGGGTCGGACACTGCAGAGCGCGTTTGAGAAGAGATACCGCAATGAGGTGGTCAGGGGGCGAGGGCCGACCTCCCCGTACAGTCCTCACTCTGTGCTGCAGGTACCCGAGTATCCAGAGCCGGACTATGCCAACTATTGAGCTTCGAGTCTTTAGGAAGCCACCATAAAGTCTAAAACAACGTCAGCTTGAGTGAGTGAATATGGATCTACGCCGCTTTTAGCAATATTTCAGCAATATCACGGCGGGGGAACACCAGAAATGGGCTTCACACATTGTACCCATGTTGGGAATCGAACCCGGGTGTTCGGCGTGACGAGCGAACGCTTTAACCACTAGGCTACCCGAACGCCCCACGTCAACTTGAAACGCCATGGTCCGGACATAACACTTTCGAACGAGTATTGTTAGAAACACGAACATGTATGTGAAGGACGTTACGCCGTAGCAATCGTTTGGTAAATTCGGAAATTACGGGATTTCACTGTAGTTTTCTGAAAATGGCACGGATTTGACCTCGTAAACATATAGCAGTCCCCATGCCATCTGTTTTAAGTTGTAGTAGTAGACGAAACAGGTATTAAAGTCACACTAAAGTGTTATGAGTGATCCTGGCATAGTCAGGACAGGCTGCACATATGGAGTGAGTGGGAAGGTGAGGGGGTAGGCGTGCGGGTAGGCGTACGGGTGGGCGGATGAGTGTACTGATGAAATATAGGCAACTTCCACCTGTCATCCATACGATCATCTCATCTTATTGCCATTAAATACTTTGTCAAATTCATGTTCAAAACTTTTGAAATCCATTTTCCTTCACAGTTAATAAATTATTTAATAAATTACTTAAATTGAAATTTATATCATAGAAGTATTTACAAAGTGCTTCTTAGGAAAAAACTGTGTAAATTATTTTAATGGGAATCTAAAAAAAATATTTTTCTCTGTTTCTGAACTGTTTTGAATTTGACAGATCACATAAAAACAAATACGATCATCTCATCTTATTGCCATTAAATACTTTGTCAAATTCATGTTCAAAACTTTTGAAATCCATTTTCCTTCACAGTTAATAAATTATTTAATAAATTACTTAAATTGAAATTTATATCATAGAAGTATTTACAAAGTGCTTCTTAGGAAAAAACTGTGTAAATTATTTTAATGGGAATCTAAAAAAAATATTTTTCTCTGTTTCTGAACTGTTTTGAATTTGACAGATCACATAAAAACAAGTGTAGACACGGTAAGGAAACCGATAGATTCCCGATATTTCTTGAAATGTGTTTTTTTCATTCTTCAAACGTATCCATTATACAAAATGCTTAATGTGGTCTATGATTTTATTACATTGTTAGATATCTATTATTTGCTCTACATTTATAAGTGTATCTTATGAAACGACTGCATAACTGTGTCAAAAACACATGATATTTTGTTTTGTGTGTGTCTGATGATGTTTTGTTTGTGGAGACATGTCTGCAATGTTAGACACACTTGGTTACTGTCATATACTTCAAATATATATCAACACAGCGCATTTATTTATCTATTTATTTATTTTCTGTGTATTAATTCTGTTTCATGCATTGTACATTTTTATTTTTGTTTAATGGCCTCGGGCGCAAGGGGTCAGTGACTCGTATTTAAACCCTGTTTCAAAACAGCTGTGCATAGTTTGAATACATTCCACAGACCCTATCAGAGAACATCGCCTTAACCTTGGGATGTCGTTACACTACGCAAGATAAGGTTTTCTTTGATTGACAGCCCGAGGTTATCCATTGCGCCATACATTTCACATGTCATCGCCTCTATTGACATCATTATCACCCATAGCGAGATATCAACAATCACCATCGCAGGTGCTCCCAGTGTATATTGCTCGAGGTGATGTAACTATATCTGCGTATGTGGATTCCGTCATGGTTGACGGTCGTGTACTTGTACTTAATTCTCATGTCATTGATTGTATTGCATAATGAAATAAAGTCTATGAAATGCTATAAGTAGTTGGTTGTTATGCAGAAGTACAGTTCGTCAATATACACCAGGGTGCTGTTGTACAAAGTGATCTTAGCGCTAAGGTGATCGTAACTCCCGCACTTTAACATAGACTTACGACAATCGTAGCGCTAAGGTTTTGCTCAAGGGTATCCTGGTCCGTTTACAGGACATACTCGTGGTCTCCATTTCAAACTCCTGCTGTCCTCATTGATTCTCCACATCGACTCAATTGTTCAGTAAAGGGTTAAAAAGAGGAAAGCGGATTTGGGATAAAAATAGTTCATGTCAGGTGTGGCGCAAATACATTCATAGATGAAGATTAAATAATATATACAAAGCGCACGGAAGACATGTGAGTGGTGTACACTTGCATCACGACAATGTCATATAACATATTGGTTGCCTGCTTCCCGGAATTTTAATGGTACAGCGATTGAGCGTATTCTCTCATGTTATAATTCACATTAGGTATTGATAGTTTTCTTTGGGTTTTAAACATATTGTCACACTCTTGGGGCCAGTCTATTGGTTTTTGTGAACTGATGACTCGACCCTCGAAAATATTTCTACTGCTTGCTGTTTCAGGCATCTTCTTATTAGCATGTGTTCGCATTTTTTTTTTTATTTAAACATATTTTATTCAGATTGAAATGGATTTGGAACAAGTTATCCAACTTAGGACTTCCTCTCCATGGTATTTACAAAGCTTGTACAGTAAATCATATACAAGGAAAACAGAAAAGAAGATGAATGTAAAGATAACAAGAAATGTAAAAGAGAGAGACTAGTATATGTACATTTAAGTGTTACCCAAATCTCTTTGTATGACTTATAAACATTTGCACTGCTTTAAAGATGTGTGGATTTTCGATAATGGACAAACATTCATTTCCGTTTAACATCAAACTTAAATCTAATTTAAATTTTTGTTCACGGCGTTCTGTAAAATGTCCCGAATTATTATTAACATAGTTTTTCTTTGGTGGACGTACAATGGACACTTTAATAAATAATGATTTGCGTTTTCACATGGATTACCACATTGACACATTGGATCACATTTTATCTCTATTCTGTATAAATCGTAATTTAACTGGCTTTTCATGTATCTTAATCGAGTATGATAAATATTCAACTTTCTAACACCATAGGAAAAATATGGAGGTGCAATGACTTGCTCTTTTGCATGTATGTCCTGAATTGGGATGTAGATGTACAATTTCTACCTGCTGCAGGAAAAGTGTTCCATAACCTTACAGTTGATAGATGTTCGCATGCTGCCGCGAGTGAGTTATATGTCGCATAACCTCAAAACAGATCTGTGTCTAAGTTACAAAAAGCGAGATCGATGCATTATTCATTGCAGTAGAGTTCATGTATACGTGATGCCTGCATTCAGACAGTAACAAAAAGCAAAGCTGCTGACGCGCAGTGTGTTATGATAATTTCGTCAAGCGTATGTGTGCACAAGCATCTCAAAATAAACTGGTTCATGGTGATTGAGTGCGTATTTTACGCCGAAGCTCTGACATATGTACATGTATGTCATGTTTTGTTGTTGCTGTTGTTTAACGCCGGACTCAGCAATATTCCCGCTATATGACGGTGGTCTGTAAATAATCGAGTCTGGACCAGAAAATCCACTGAGTGATATCATGAGCAACCACGCACGCAACTGGGACACGATGACAGGCATTAAGCAAGTCAGGAAATCTGACCACCCGATGCCGTTAGTCGCCTCTTACGACAAGCATAATCGCCTTTTACAGCAACGTGGGTTGCTGAAGACCTATTCTACACCTGGTCTTCCCTGGTGGTATGCCATTTTGAGCGTCATATATATGTTTGACAAAACCTTTAAAAAAATAGAAAAAGTCAAGCGCTAACACAACCATGTTTACTGGTTTTTTTTACGCCACAATCAGACAATCAGACAATTATGACGGCGGTCTGTGAAAATAAAGCTGTGTTTAAGCTCAATACACACAGTCCTATAAGGGAACACCCGAGGAGTAAGCAACCCTCAAGTCATACTGGAACTGAGAATGGGGTGGGAGTGAGTGAGTGAGTGAGTGAGTATGGTTTTACGCCGCTTTTAGCAATATTCCAGCAATATCACGCCAGGGGACACCAGAAATTGGGTTCACACATAGTTCCCATGTTGGGAATCGAACCCGGGTCTTCGCCGTGACGAGCGAACGCTTTAACCACTAGGCTACCCGACCGCCCCTGAATAGGATGGGTATAGGCCAGTGAGGTGAGATGTTTGTGAGCGTGGGATGGAATGTAGGTGGTTGATTTATTAAATATATGCTCTGGGGAGTGTAAGTGAGACAATAAACAACCGAGTCTAGACCAGAGAGTGGTTAATATGAGCAATGTCGGGGAACGATGACACGCATTCAAACAGTCACCGACCCAGACCTCGTGCCAATTTTGCCGCCTTCTTAAAGGCAGTTGAGTGCAAGCCTCCTGTTAGAACCGGATCTCGACAGGGCCGAGTTACTGTAGTAGCACAACGTACAGGACAGTATTCCCTACCAGTGTTCGGTGCTCCAACATACAGTTCTTCATCAGAGGCGGGCCGGGATGTAGTAAATGGGGGATGAAGTAACCTGGCTGAGAAAAAACAGTGTTGTTATTTAAAAGTATATATCTACAAAATAGAGGGGGGGGGGGGGGGGGGGGGGGGGGGGGGGGGGGGGGGCATAGGTGGTGGCACCCTCATAAACCCTTATTTTAAATGATTGAACCTGTGCAAATTTTGGATATTGAAAGTTGAAACACAACATGATATATACCTGTATCCTCATAAGGCAAGATATAACTCTTCTGAATCGTCAGGCTACAGGTATTCATCAACTTGTGTTTTCCCAGGCTGTCAACGCGTTAAATCTCCCGCCACGTTGACGTCAGCACGTTTCGGGGAAACCCGGAAGTGACCCTAATGTCATTCTGCGAGTTGTGTAAACCGAAAGCGGATAGCTGTAGCGAGGGATACGAGAACGGCTTTCACCAACCTTCAACACTGACGACAGCATGGCAGCGGCGGCCGTTCCTGCCGACGGGTCTTGCAGCCAGGAAAACGACAAAAAGGTATCATGTGTTACCCTTTACCCTTGCACCGCCATTCAGAGTCCTCGCACCCTTTTCTGTAGAACACACCCGGTAAAAGACAGTAACAACGATCGCTAAGATTAGCCAGGTATTTATTGCCGACTGTTGTATTAATCCACCAGACAGCGACGAGGCTTGTGGGTTCTTGTTTTTACTGAAAATAGACATGAAGATTTGCTGACTGTGCCTATGAAATGCCTCGCCCCTATATTGTACATATCTCCATGTTTGACCTCTGTCACGTGGTTGCTGCATTGACCTCGCCAGGCATGTCCACAGACATGTGTAATCCGCAATGCCATATCTCCCACTTAACTGCATATCACCGCACAACCCTTGTTATAACACTGTTATGACGCGACGCCCCTACCCCGTTATACAGCGACGCGGTGGTATAGCTTGCTACAAGTGTCAAGTACTACGTAAATACTGGTTGCGATATGTGGATCAAGTTTCAATACACAATATGTGTATTTACCAGCCGTTGTCACAGATCTAGGTCTTGTTTGCTGTTGGGTCGCTTTAAATCAATATTTTAACTGCAACGTGGTAAAATGACATTCATAGCTTTACAACATGCTCACGTCACTGTCGCTGTGGTTCCCAATAAGATGGACTTGAGAAAGCAGTAATGTTGACTTTCTGAAGGTCTAATAAAACCCAACCCTTTACGTTCTAGTGAAATATGTTTTTGAATAAGTATCTTAAATTTTTTCATATACAAAATGAATGTTCCACTTCTTAATGTAGCCAAACATGTTTTCAGATGCAGTGAATATATTAATTGGTTTTATTAATATACTTTCTTGATCCATGTTTATGAAGTAGAGTTGAGAGAAAAAATTGCTATATTTTTATATATCCTTCCACACCTTACTGGCTAGTGGTCTAATATTTCATAACACAACAGATTTACCCGTACTAAATATTAGCGGTTGAAATGTTTTAACATGTTTTCCGATGCAATGAATGTATTAATTAATTTTATTTATATACTTTCTTGATCCATATTTATGAAGTAGATTTAAAAAAAAGTTTTTGTTATATGTTTTTAATTTATTTTCACAACTTACCAACTCGAGGTCAGACTAATATTTCATAACACGAAAGGTTTACCCATACTAAATTAGCGTTTGAAATGTATTAACTGTCAGTGTCACAGTCTATTGAGCTGCTGAAGCTGGTTACACACCTATGATAATCAAGCAACATTGTTTGGTGCCATATTTATAAACTAAGTTATTCAACTTCTTTGAGAGGCATTTAGAGGTGAGGTGAGGTGAAATGGGGTTTAACGTCGCGTCCAAGATTATTGCACTTATATAGCGACGTGCTTGTACGTGTGTGTGTGTGTGTGGCTGCTTGTACTAGTCCGGACTGATGCCGATTTATAGTGCTTGCTCACTGAGATACCATGCCGCAGTTTAACATGAATACCCCACTCAGACACAGTATACTGACTCCGAGCCGACCAGTCCTTGTTTTAGCCCCTTAATGCTGAGCGCCAGACAGGGTAACAACAAGTACCATCTTTTAACGTCTTTTTGTGTGACGCGGCCGGGGATCGAACCCCGGACCTTCCGCTCTCCGGGCGTCTCCGGGCGTCTCCGGGCGGACGCTCTACCACAAGACCACGGAGGCGGTCGAGAGGCATTTAGAAGTTGGCGTACTAAGTAAGGATGTAAGTATGGATGAACAACTTGAAAATTGGAATAAAGAAGTTGTTTCATCCATATATCTTATCCTCACTAAGTTGTTCAACGCTATGTTGAGCTATGAGGAGTCTGAGGCTAAGGGAATACGTGTGTTGACCAGAGACCGTTATGTATTCAAGGCACGGAAACTTCAAGAGTTGTTCCGAGGTCGCTTCAGTGAGAAGGAGGCTATGGCCGTCATCCTCGACAAGAAGGGAGACATCACCGCTGCAGTCGACTTCATCATGAAAGGTGAGATTTGTCGACCTGTCGCAGATTGACAGACTGTTGAGACACACACTACCTACCCCTGAAGATCGGGTAAGAATTGGTCTTCAGCAATCCATGCTCAGGTAAGAGGCGACTAACGGGATCGGGGCGTGAATTTGTTTTTAGAAACCCTCAGATACCTAACCCCCGTCCCCATCCTCCAAAAAGATCCGGGGTAGAATAGGGCTTCAGCAACCCAAACATGGTGACTAACGGATCGGGTGATCAGACTCCCTGACTTGGTTAATGCATATCAGCGTATCCCAATTGTGTAGATCGATGCTCATTTTGTCAATCACTGGATTGTCTTGTCCATACCAGATTATTTCCGCCGTTATAAATCTGAAATATTGAGTCGGCGTTTAGCAACATATAAACAAACAAACAAACACACACGCTAACTGGGACGTGACGTGTGATGTTTCCCACTCGATCTTCACGGGCGTTAGGGGAGATTTTCAAGACGCTTCCTTCAGTTTTATAAGTAAAGTGTTCATTAATGTTCCTGATGTTCTAGGATATAGTTTGTTTTGAAACAGGTCGTTTGATGTTACAGCTCAGTTGATGGAAAAACATAATTTTGCCCAGAGGCGATCCATGATTTCAAAAAGGGGGGTGAAAGTGTGGAGGAACAGTGAATGGTGAAAAATGGAGGTGTAGTCGACCGCACACACACACACACACACACACACACACACACACACACACACACACATAAACCCACCCGCACACGACATACGCACACAAGACAATTGTTTTGTCGTTTCAGCAGTAATGGCATTCTGCGGTTTCATCAGTGTATTTATCTTCCAGGGCCTCCAGAGCAGATTCGGAAGTTTATACATGACAGAGATCAGGTCAGTCAACAATCTACTCTGTACTCTTCACGCATCACTATTCGTCCGAGCAGCTGGGGTCGCAGGCCCCTCCTGACAATAGTTCAGAACACGGGGTAGGGTTGTTATGAATGAGCAAAACCCAAAGGGACAAACTCAACTGGGCACTTATAACTTTTGTGAAATTAACCAGCAACGTTTTGGTTCTACTAACGCCTATTCTCTGAAAATAGATAATTTTGATAAAAGCAACCACATTTAAATTGAAAAGGAGCCCCGGTGAGATTGGAGATTCGAAATCTGAACCTGTGGAAAATCTAGACTTGCTTTATTTAGGGATGTAGCATTGCAGTAGGGCCTGGGCGGAAGAGAAAATAGAATGGTTCAGGGACTGTTAGACAGACTACAATTTGTTCCTGGAAATCAAAATCAGAATATTGTCACCGAATTCAGAATTTTCTGTGATGTCTATGCTCCATAACAGACTTCCTACTTCTATTATCTACCCCAAATATATTAAATAAGATGAACATGATATTGTTTGCATCCTTCTTTCGTCCTGCCGACAATAATAATATTTTCAGTGAAAAGAAAATCACCAAAGTATAGATCTCGATGTGGGAATGGCAGTGACTAAAGCGTATCATGTAGATAAAGGTATACGGCTTACAGAAAACACACGTCACGGGCGCGAGCCTGACTACACAATAAAGCCTACAAAAGGATGCTGTCCAAGAATAAAAGACACGTGTTTTTGTTGTCACCAGTTTATATCGTTTATCATGTTTTACAGTGTATCACTATCATCGTTTATCTTGTGTATTATATCTATATTCTATTATGCTGACTTGGTTGATGCATGTCATCGTTCCTAATTACGTGGATCGATGCTCATTATATTAATCACTGGATTGTCTGGTCCAGACTCTATTATTTACAGACCGCCGTCATATAGCTGAGTGCGGCGTTAAACAACAGACAAACAACTGTTATGGTAGTTATCCTGGACCCATCTGCTGCTGTAATTCCTTTTTAGAAGTGACGTCACCGTCTCTGTATCTCCCCATCAGTTATCTCCCCTGGCTTGTCTCGCTAATGAGCGTGATTTGATTGGACTGCTACTTTTAGCGTTGTTTGACTATTAATCTACGTTATATACGCCAGACACTTGTGCAAGAACTACAGAGAGACTCTACCATCATCAACAAGCACCTGCGGAGTGGCCTCCCCTACACAGTCCGCCAGTTTGGGTGTGGTCCGTGCGACAATTTCTGGTGGCAGAAAGTGCCGTCGAGGAAGGAGGTCAGTAACCTCTGCACAGTACATTAGTCAACTCCAGGTGTAATGAACTACTGGGACTTTAATGTCCACTCGTTATATCCGAAATTCTGTCCTTTTTAACAATAACATTACAGGCCGAAGTGTGAATATATATAATCATGTTCCTCTGTCCGAGTTAACATGTCTGGGTCGCTTGGCAACCCCGGACAGAAGTGGTTCCCAGTGCTCTATTGCTTGCCGTTAAAGGCGACTAAGTTGGATGGTGAAGCTCGGAGACTGAATTGGTTGCCTGCGTGTCAACGTCCCACGAGGTGAGAGCACTGCCCACGGAGTCTACTCGGCCGCCGTGATGTAGCAGGAATATTGTTGACTGCAGCGCGGATAATATTCTCTCACTGTGTGATTATTATAAACTGTTATTGGACGTATTATCGGTAATTGCTAACGTCAGTATGGTAGACGTCTATTGGTGTGTCATTTATGATTTACGTTCACAATGAAACTTTCTTATCAACCAATCATTGTGAATGCTTGTAAATTCTCGATACGAGCCAGCGAAGCATTCGGAGGAGCCTATGGCATTTTCTGTATCTCGAAAGCCAATTTTAACGAATGGAGAATAATCAAACAAACTTAAAAAATGTCAATGTTCTGAACGCCTTTTCCATCTTCACCAAAAGGATGCACTATAGACTGTATTATTTCTGTTTTGTATTGGTTTTCTGTTGTACTTATTTGAAGCCTAATTATCTTCTGACATCAGATTCACTATTAAACTCACTCATCTTACGGTAGATTGACCAAACGTGACCTCTGGAAGATTTGTCAAAGCTTGATGATTTTAATGAAAGTGTGTGCAAATAAAACTATGACCACGTGTACTGTATTTCTTATCCACCCGTTTCACTCACTAACTCTGGATCTTGCAGGTGAGCTCATGCAAGAAGTGTAAAGTCAAATACGACCCAGTCCCAAGGGGCCATGAGTGGGGATGGGCGGAGTTCAAATGTCCCTGCGGGAACGAATTCGGGTGAGTGTGTCCCACACGTTACATTCTAAAGTGTAAAGGAAATATATTGTAACAGTTGCCTGTGTATGGCTCATCCGTATTGATATTTAAACTCAGATGAAGGATAGCCACACGTGGGCTCTGAGTTGATCCCCAGTACGACCTGCTTGTCATAAGACCCGACTGATTACTGTTGGGGGTGGTCACGATGTGGAGCTCAACTGATAATGTATCATCGTACCTCGGTCGCTGCTCATACAGTCCACCACTGGTTTGCCATAACAGTCTGAATTATTAACAGCCCGCCTTTATGTAGCTGAAATGTGACTGATAACATTCACTCACTCACTCTGACGAAATGGCTTTGGCAAGCAAGATGTATCTAATTGAACTACGAGGCCTTTGGTTATGCTGTTACGAAACCATGTTCTACAAGATTTAGCTACTGTCGTCGGTGATGTTGCAATCTTTTTTTACAGTTCCCGCTGTTGCCATAGTTTCCATTCTATTTCAGTGGGTTCGGCCAAATGGGCGAGACTGGCAGTCCCTGCTTCAAGTGTCAAAGGATGAGTTTTCCTCTCAAAATTCAGCCCCCTCGTAAAAGCAACCGACAACGTCGCTCCACCGACCACGCGTGCAACGGGGCCAACTGTTATAACGCCGGAATGTTGGGAAGAGGGGGCTTCGGAGGAGGGGGTCGAGGACGGGGATGGGGAGGGGGAGGCAGGGGCAGAGGTGAGGAGGGCAACGCCGATTACCTTGACATTCACCTCAGACAATGTATGATATGGATTTACGTGTAGTAACTTTCTGTGTTAGTATATTTAACGGTCATTGGCCATCAAAATCGGGGAGGGTCGCTTTTCGGAAGCATACAAAATAGACATAAACGAATAAATGTTAATGAGTGAGTGAGTTCAAATTTTCGCATTGGCATTATTCAAGCCATTTAACGACGAGACCCAGTTGATATATTTACAATTGAGTTATGAATGCAAAGTCATATTTAAAAACACATTTTATCGAACACATTTGGGCATAACAATATCATGTATACAGTTTAAAACACAGGCTATAGGCATGCTAATAAAGGATTTGGTAATAAGAGTTCAACAAAAGTAACACGACAAAGAAACGCAAATAGCTTCGCGATTTATTTGCATTCAACTAACATGTTATATGGGCAAATTGGCTGTAATAGCAAGCGGGATTCAAGTCCACTATTTTGTTAGCTGTTACCTTAAATCGATTATATAATATTATTATATACATCTGTGTGCCCAGTTTCGCTTGCTACATACATGTATTGTTGTCCCAAACAGGTAACCGCAACCCTCAATGCTGTCATCCCCGTTCAATACGAGCCTCGGGGGGTAAGGTTGTGTTGTACCCAAGCCAGCCGCACAGAAGCACAGGCTCCACAGTCGCAACCTTCTTAACGCAGGACGATCTCGTCTCGCACGCCGGGACATTCGTCTCAAGTCTCGTTGATTTGCGAGAAGATGACGAAGAGGCTTTAGCCGGAAGTGATCACGAAGACAGCGATGGCGGCCCAGCGGACGATGGCCAGTGACCAGTGACAAAACTTATACTGAGATAGGTCTGTCTGAATTAATTCCAACTAGAACGAAAGACCAGTTCCCGAGACTGTCTTCATTAAAATGCAGAATAGGATGTATGAAAATTTGTTCTGGTAAACAATATTCAATTCTTGATATTACATTGCATCATATTTCAGTTATGTGGTGAATGTTCATAGCTTACAAAGTGAAATTGTTATCATTGGCTTACAGTGATGGGTAAATATGTACACATTCACGATAGCTCAAAACAAACGAGTCCCGGTCGAGATCTTGGAGACGTCCGTTTGTTCGTTACAGATTAAATATAACTGACAACGCCCTTTCCATATTGATAAAAACATCTCGGTTAATAACAGAGTCGACTGTACGATTCAGTCTATATCATGAGCATGTGTCTAGGAATCACTATCAAATAGTGATGATACCAGGTAAGCGTATCCTGCCCCACCGCTGCCACACCTGAAAATAACGTCTCCCAAATTGCGACCTTGATGCGCAAATGTCTCTCTCCATTCGCGGTCGAGGAAAAGTTATTTTTGAACACGTTTTAATATTGCATAATGTGCCATAAATATGAGTGATACTGGTTACAAGGTAATACTGCCTTATATGGAATGCTGATTATATAACTTCCCGAAGTTGTCAAATGTGTGTTATTTTAATTGCACGTATTCATCAGTTGACTCAAGCAGACAATAAACCCACGCGACCCATAACAGAATTTGTCGCCAGGAACGTGTTACAAAATACATGTAACGTCAGCCGTTTTCATTTTATTTTCCTGTTCGCTTGGGTAGATAGATTAAATATAAACATCATAATCCAACACATAATCTATATGTGCGTATTGCTAAAGGTTGAGTGACTTCAAAGGTTTTGACGGCATGTTACACTATCACAAACTACCAAGTTTTTGATAAAAGTTTGTGATAGTGTAACGGGGGTAATAGGTCAGTGAAAGCAAAATGACGTCATACTACTGTATTGTTGCGAACACTAGACATGACCTCACACAACAATAGGTTGACACTGACTTTTCTATATATGTTGACATATCATTCATAATTGTAGATATTCTTTCCTGAAACGACATTGGGTTATATGTAGAATAACCTAACCCAACTCGGAATTATTGATGTGTGCCGAGTGATTGTCCTGATTGGCGTGTTTTTTTAATTCTCAATTCTTCACCTTGGGTCCCGTATCAGGAAGTCCTGTCACTTCAGCGACTTTTGCATCACCCTTGCTTTAACATAGACTTAAGGTAGTATTAGCTTCGTGATTTTCTATTGTATGACTGTTGTTCTGGGATGAATATAATGAAAGCATATAAGTGTATAGTTGATGACTCGTACAAAATGATGACGATGAGGTGAGGTGAAATGGGGTTTAACGTCGCGTCCAAGATTATTGCACTTATATAGCGACGTGCATGTACGTGTGTGTGTTTGTGTGGCTGCTTGTACTAGTCCGGACTGATGCCGATTTATAGTGCTTGCTCACTGAGATACCATGCGGCAGTTTAACATGAATACCCCACTCAGACACAGTATACTGACTCCGAGCCGACCAGTCCTTGTTTTAGCCCCTTAATGCCGAGCGCCAGACAGGGTCTTTTGGTATGACGCGGTCGGGGATCGAACCCCAGACCTTCCGCTCTCCGCACTGTTGTGCCTCTGATGATTGTGTGCTTGTGATCATTTGATATAATTCAGCTGTGATAAACCAGTCGTGTGTAGGCAGAGTTCTGACCAGGAAGTGTTTTACGTGTCAGTCTAAGTCTTTTTTTGTCACCACATATCTTTGTAATGTTTACCTTCATTTTGAAAGACATGTAGCGTGAAATCATATAGATAGGTAACAAAAGTATAAAAGTTTGATTTAATCTTATAAAAACGTTCGTCTGCAGTTAGTGATAAAGTCATGTTCATATATTGCTGAGATCTCACACAGCGGAATTGATGTAATAATGTTCTTCTCCTTCTGTTTGTATGATAATGTGCCGAATCACACCAAACAGTGCCGCTCAAGGACCAACCATTTTATAGTCAGGGGTGAGGGTCAGCGTGGATGCTGGGAGCTTGTTAGTATATTTTGTTACGGATTCAAAACACATCTATGTTTCTCTGAAGGAGGAGCTCAATTACTTAGGGAACACCACAGCACAATAGAGACTGAGACTGAGGCCAAAATATTCTGCCAAACATTTTCTGGAACACATATTTAACTCTCTTAACTTCAAAGATCATGGAATGGACGGTTGCTTGTCATGCAAGAAATACTATCAAAAAGAAGTTAAAAGAACACTCGATTGTTTTAATGACAGCTTTACGATAGTAACATCAAGGAGTCGGTGCTGTTTAACTTGTTTTGAATAGTACACATATCATTGCTCCAATATACTCCCGATTTATTTCTCCGTTAAAGATTATTCTGTAACGAAAATGTCTTCTGTTTATTATTGGGTTTCATAGCATTTCATTGCTTTACATTGTAAATGCTTCGTTTGTTTTTATTGAAAGTTGAAGTATAATGTTATAAGTGTTCGTGCCAATGTTTACAAGGGACTGTACATACAAAGTTTATTTGCATAACGTGCATCCGCAAAGGCTGCATTGTATCAACCTTATTTTCCCCGTGATATTAGGATCAAGTGATGTGTGGTCAACATGGTATTTTGTACATTCATAATATGTGATATATTTAAATATGCTAATAAGTCCTAAATAATTTCACTGTGCCAATATACTGAATCGTCAATGACCATGATCACTACTTGCATGATGTGCATAAAGTTGGTTCTTGTGAAAAGGAATCCATCGTTACGATTTGGCTGAAGAGAAGGTACACAGGTAGTGTTGAAGAAATGGCTTCGATCACCGAGTCTCTGCATTGTACCACTAATGCATAATATCATTACATTTTGTTTAACAAATACACGTACTGTGATAGGTGAGGACGAACTGAATAAATTGCCATATGCCATGAGAAACTATTCAGATAAGATTTTCTCAAAGGCTGATCCTAAATATTTAACTGTTGTCGGGGTAGGGCTTTTATTTTTGAAATTTTACCTTTGACTGGGAGGGGGTTCTGTGTATCTACTTACACTGTTGGATGGTGGGTGGTTGGGTTCCACGCGTGTTTATAAAAGTAGAAGGAATTCTGATGGGCGTTTTAGGTCATTGGGGTACAAATGGTATTAACTAAAAGGGAGTTTGAACTCCATGACCCCCTCCCCGAGACCAGCCCGTTCCTGATCTTGTTGTCACAGCGTTGCTCCCATCTGATGTATTGTGCACACGTAAACTGAGAGACATGTATCCATCCACCCACGTTGATTGTACATGTGAATGACGTGGAAAACTATTTTTATATTTGATTATAGTCTACACCTTTCTCCCCCCCCCCCCCCCCCCCCCCCCCCTATGACACGCATGGTGCGCCTCGCGGAAGCAGCATTGCAGAGATGCGGTTTCTAATGCGCCCTCAAATCAAGAACAATAACTTCAATAATTTTATTGCTGTTTCTAACAGTTTATCATACTTCCTGTACAAGTCTTGACATGATTTGTAATATTTGTGCTATTATTTACTCATTTATTTTATAAAGTAGACAGTATTTATTAATAACAACTTCTTTAATTACTGTTAAGGCGACTTTTGGGTATTGATCCTTATACTGTTGTCTTATACCGCTTTACCACAGTGTTAGGATCTATACTGAAACGTCTCTTTAACAGTAATTAAAGGAGTTGTTATCCAGTAATTGTGTCTACTTTGTCATTCGTCAAGTTCTAAGTAATACCTATCAAATAATTTATTTTTATTTTATTTTTGAAACTCCATGGAAGTCATAGTCTCTTATTGATATTATTTTTGTGATATTAATTAAATTCGAAATGATATTCGATCATGGACTTTTCAAATTTATAAATAATTCGACCATGTTTTAGGCTCGTTAAATGTTTTGTTTACTTGTTTGTGACGTTTTATCAGCGTAGAGATATCCTTCTCATGCTTTATCTTCACAAATATTTACGATCTATATGTTTGTGTATAAATCTAAGTATTTGTTTGCATAATTTGTGCACCACATTTGCACACACGAAGATAATGACTTTCACTGCTGGACGCATATATTATGTGATGCTTTCTGTTTTGTAATTACAAATACATAAAATTAAAAAAGTCATTGCTACTGACATTTTGTGTTTTCCCTCATCAGGACCAAAGGACAAAATGCACGTGGTGTCTCCGTCCGATAACCTTAGACTTGTACTCCGGTTGAACCGCTGGAGAGGGTGCGCCCTTGCACAGTCTGGCACAAAAATAACACTCAGATTTGTTAATGGCTTTAAACATTTTCCCGATGCAAGGGAGTGTAAAAGTCCAGTTCCCACAGTTGATGTAAACTTTTACTCTCCCTTGCTTCGGGAAGATGTTTAAAGCCATGAACAAATCTAAGTGTTATTATTTTATTTTACAGCTGATGTGGATCCGTGAAGATCCGGGGTAGAGTAGGTCTTCAGCTACCCATGCTTGTCATAAAAGGCGACTATGCTTGTCGTTAGAGGCGACTGACGGGATTGGGTGGTCAGGCTTGCTGACTTGGTTGATGCATGTCATCGTATCAAGAACTGTAATGTGACGTAGATAAATTTCATTGCGAAACACTGGCAAAAAGAATACTTAGTCATGTTCCTTTTCGATGTTCCTATTCTTTAACTGTGGTAGATAAAGTATGGTATCCTTTAAGAAAGCAAATGGCTGAGAGAGCCTACAGTTCGGGAGCTATTAGTGGCTAGACCAATTACAGGCTAGCCAGTGGTTGACGGTGTGAGCAACCTTTAGAGTCCCAAAACGTCACACAAAGTCACACGCTGTGACCCTACTCCCCCTGTAAATAATCACGTGTGGACCAGACAAATCCGACCTCACTAGTCGGTTTGCATGAAGAACTGGGGACATGTACATTCCGCCGCGGGGATTTTTTCAAGAGTAATTAACGATTGGTACTCTATATGAAAAAAGTAATAGTATTACGCTTCTTTTGGAGAAGCCAAACACGTACCTGTATTTTATCCTGTGCTATCATACGGGAAATTGCAGTGCCGGTTGGATGATGTAAGGGAGACAACTCCGAGACCCTTAACATGAAGTCGTGCAACATTGTTACCACTACCATCTCTACTACTACTACTACTACTACTACTACTACTACTACTAGTACTACTACTACTACTACAACAACTACTGACCCGCGAAGATCCATGTCGCCGTATAAGGCGACTGTGCGTGTCGTAAGAGGAGACTAACGGGATCGGGTGGTCAGGCTCGCTGATTTGGTTGATGCATGTCATCGTATACCAATTGCGTGGATCGATGCTCATGATGGGAATCACTGGATTGTCTGGTCCAGACTCGATTATTTACAGACCACCGTCATATAGCTGGAATATTGTTGAGTGCGGCGTTAAACAACAAACCAAAAAACAAACACAACCACAACTACTCCTACTAGCTCACACGTTTTATATATGTACACTCGACAAATGGTTAGGCAGACCCAGACTACTTTCACTGGTATATCCGTAATCGGTGAATGCAGGAATCTTTTAAATATAATTTTAGTTATTTTCGCCATTTAACCTCCAAGTACTGAAATTGTTTTTTTCATTCTCACAAAGAATTACTATGTTTTAGCAAGATCAGTACCAGACGCATATTATGTGTAGGCGAAACCCTGAACCTACGATACTCGTGAAGATCCGGGGAAGAATAGGTCTTCAGCAACCCATGCTTGCCGTAAAAGGTGACTATGCTTGTCGTAAAAGGCGACTAACGGGATCGGTTGGTCAGGCTCGCTGACTTGGTTGATGCATGTCATCGATCCCAATTGCGTGGATCGATGCCCATGATATTAATCACTGGATTGTCTGGTCCAGACTCGATTATTTGAAGACCGCCGTCATATATCTGGAATATTGCTGAGTGCGGCGTTAAACAACAAACCAACCAACCTGAACCTACGAATCACCCGTGAACTTCAAGGCAGTTGTGTATGGCGGTGATACGCTGGTGGTTTTGATATCTGTGGAGTTTAGCTAAAATAGTGAGAAAAAGAGGAATATTTGTTATGTTGTGAGAACATGCTTGTGTTACACCGTAGGTTTTGTGTTTGAAGAATAAAGCTTATTATGCGTACTCCATTTTACAAATATATTACATAGGACATGCATGCATGATGTATTCTTACCGCTGTTTATAATTACAAATGTTATTATTTCATATTTGCAAAAAAAGAATTTGTCATCGTCGCCCACAAATGGCTTTATAAGGGTTCGAACGTGTGGTCATTACGATACATCTTGAACCGTATAGAAATAATTGCTTGATGTTAACTTTGCAGTAGCAAGAGTAGCCTCCCTTTAATCATAGTTGGCCGCGCAACACTCATTGCATTTTAGGTAAGAACCAGTTTTGGAACTATGTGGTACGTGTTACAAGTGCATTAGTCTTTATTCGTCTCAATAGTACATGTTACAAGTGCATTAGTCTTTTTTCATCCCTTGTACATGTTACAAGTGCATTAGTCTTTATTCATCTCAATAGTACATGTTACAAGTGCATTAGTCTTTATTCATCTCAATAGTACGTGTTACAAGTGCATTAGTCTTTATTCATCTCAATAGTACGTGTTACAAGTGCTTTAGTCTTTATTCATCTCAAAAGTAGGTGTTACAAGTGCATTAGTCTTTATTCATCTCAATAGTACGTGTTACAAGTGCATTAGTCTTTTTTCATCCCTTGTACATGTTACAAGTGCATTAGTCTTTATTCATCTCAATAGTACATGTTACAAGTGCATTAGTCTTTATTCATCTCAATAGTACGTGTTACAAGTGCATTAGTCTTTATTCATCTCAATAGTACATGTTACAAGTGCATTAGTCTTTATTCATCTCAATAGTACGTGTTACAAGTGCATTAGTCTTTATTCATCTCAATAGTACATGTTACAAGTGCATTAGTCTTTATTCATCTCAATAGTACGTGTTACAAGTGCATTAGTCTTTATTCATCTCAATAGTACGTGTTACAAGTGCTTTAGTCTTTATTCATCTCAAAAGTAGGTGTTACAAGTGCATTAGTCTTTATTCATCTCAATAGTACGTGTTACAAGTGCATTAGTCTTTTTTAATCCCTTGTACATGTTACAAGTGCATTAGTCTTTATTCATCTCAATAGTACATGTTACAAGTGCATTAGTCTTTATTCATCTCAGAAGTACGTGTTGCAAGTGCATAAGTCTTTATTCATCTCAATAGTACATGTTACAAGTGCATTCGTCTTTATTCATCTCAAAAGTAGGTGTCACAAGTGCATTAGTCTTTATTCGACTCAATAGTACGTGTTACAAGTGCATTAGTCTTTATTCATCTCAATAGTACATGTTAGGGGTTGGTGGGTCAGAGGGAGTCAGGCAGGATCCCCAAAAATATGATAATCACTAGGGGAGGGTCACCAAAAATATGATAACCACTAGGGGAAGGTTATAAAAAATAATACACATATTTGGGGAGGGGCGTGAACTTGTTTTTCGAAAAACTCCCAGACACCTATTCCCCGTCCCGACCCCCCCGGCCGACCCGTGAAGATCCGGGGTAGAATAGGTCTTCAGCAACCAATGATTGTCGTAGGAGGCGACTAACGTGATCGGGTGGTCAAGCTCGCTGACTTGGTTGATACGTGTCATCGTATCCCAATTGCGTGGATAGATGCTCATGATATCAATTCCTGGATTGTATGGTCCAGACTCAATTATTTACAGACTGCCGCCGCATAGCTTAAATATTGAGTGCGGCGTTAAACAACAAATAAACAAAGAAATCCACCCCGACCGCTCTAACTAGTACATGTTACACGTGCATCATTCCATATACATCTCAGTACACGTTACACGTGCATCCTCCCTTATTCATCTAAATAAAGTGACAAAACCCTTTCCATATCCAATAGAAATCTCTGCATAAAGCAGAGTCGATTGTACGATTCCGATTATATCGTTAGCATCTGTTTATAAATCACTATCAAATATTTAAAGATACCAGGTGTTCGCGAAAAGGTGAGCGTATTCTGCTCCACCGGTGACACCCGTCACAAACACATGCAAAGGCAATTCAATTGTTCACCTGAAAAAAACCATGGGAACATATGTTACAACTCAAAATAGGGAATTGCATAGGACAACATTTTTTTCACTGATGCGTCAAATTTGGAAATGTTCTCGACGTATCTACCATAACACTTTCTGAAAGCTTTACATTTTGAAAGTCGTATGACGCTCTTTGAAATCTTGGCGGAAAGAACATGCTCGATTGTTTCTCAAAAGTTGTGAAATTTAAACACCAAAGGCTGGAGCTGCAGGAATATTGCTCTTCGTGAAGGGAAAGTTGACTATTGGAAAGTTGAAGTCATCCCTCTTGTCATACAGTCTTGTGGAGAGCGTTTTGTCACTCTGATGTTTCGTGCATAGATCTAAATATGAAACAGATGAGGCCTCCCTGGTCTCCTTTATTTCTAGTTCCGGTGGGTAAATCAGTGGAAGGGAATTGGCTATTGGTACATGTTTCTTGTGCATCATTCCATGTGGATCTAAGTAATACAAGTTACACGTGCATCATTCCATTTTCATCTCAGTAGAACATGTTACACGTGCATCCTTCCAAATTTATGTAAGTAGAACGTTGCACGTGCATCCTTCTATATTCATCTAAGTAGTGCATGTTACACGTGCATCCTTCCATGTTTATGTAAGTAGTACGTTGCACGCGCATTCTTCTATATTCATCTGAATAGTGCATGTTACACGTGCATCCTTCCATGTTTATGTAAGTAGTACGTTGCACGCGCGCATGTTCTATGTGCATTCGTAATTAATCAGTTGAGTAGTGCATGTAACACGTGCATCCTTCCATGTTTATGTAAGTAGTACGTTGCACGCGCATTCTTCTATATTCATCGAAGTAGCACATGTTCTATGTGCATTCGTAATAATTCACTTGAGTAGTGCATGTAACACATGCATCCTTCCACGTTCACCTGAGTAATGCATGTTACACGTGCATCCATCTTTATTCATCTCAGTAGTACTTGTTTTCATGTACAGATCTTTATCCAATAAGAAAGTCCACTAGC